TATTTAAATTAACATTGATGTCAAACATCATAGAATTATATTTAATTTAACATTGATATCAAACATCATAAAATTGTATTTAAATTAACATTGAAATGTAAACTATCAAGTTTACAATAGGTTATGCTAATTAAACCAATGATAATCATAATTAATTACAGCTACCTTCTCCTAGAAGAAAACAGTAGGAACATTTGATTCAAGCTAATAATTCAATTCGTCTGTAGATGTGCTTAAGATTGAATAAATGAAAATTTGTATTGAATAATAGTTAATACATTTTTATTGAAGAAAAAAATAAAAAAAAGCCAACAGCACGCGGAGTTCCCAAGCGGTCACCCATCCAAGTACTATCCGCGCCCAACTCAGCTTAACTTCGGTGATCGGACGAGAACCGGTGTATCCTGACTAGTATGGCCGTTGGCTGAAAACTATAGTATTTCGGTGCCAACACCTTTTACAAATTTCGATATTACATATTGTAATTAAAATATACGTAAAAATTTCTACCAATGCATTGACTTTAAGGAGAATCATCAGCGACCGACACCAGTTTCATTCGATCGAATGAACGATGGAAGATCAAAGGAAAATCGCAATACCATTAATATTACATTTTTAACTATACAAAGCAGAAAATTTTGTTAAACCATTTCTATGAAAATTTATATTAATTCTTGTAAAAATGCTAAATAAATATATATACTCTACGTTTTATGTTTTATTTTTCTACTGTATTTTCAGTATAAAAATAATTGTAAATCGAGCATTGGTGCTTCTTGTGTTTGAAAAGAAATGGCTGTCAAATAATGAATTAAATAAATGAGATTTAAATAATGAGACCGAAATAATGACCAAAATAATGAGACTTAAATAGTCATCAAACTCACTTTATTATAATAAAATTCGCACTAGTAAACTAGTAAAATTCACACGAGTAAACTAGTAAAACTCACAGGAACTTCAGAAGTTGTACTCCTATATTTATTGAATATCCTCATACAAATACTGTTATACAAAAGAAGTTAAAAGTGGTATCCCAAAACGAAGTTTAATCCATGAAACTTCCTCATAAAAAGTTTTCTTTTATAGCTTCTGAAATAGCCTATTATACCTGAAACTTTATAGGGTCATCCCTTGAATATGAAAACCGCACAAAATAAAAAAGTACATATCTTTTTTAATGTAAAATGTATTCAAAATGAAAACGAATCGAATATCGTCATCTAAAGTACTGTGCCTGTCAGTCTGATAATTAATCTGCCAACTATATTCCTCGGTCGAAGGAACGCCAATGGATATGCTATTGATACAGTAATTGAAGCGCATCCTCGGCGTAGTATTATTAAACACGAGCAGCTTTACCGGCCACAATACTAACCGTAATGGCTGCATTATTCACCGGGACAACAGACATGTTTCCTTGTCGCTGAACAAAGGCCACTAAATTAAAAGTTGCCCTCAATCGTTCGGGATTAATTAGCTACTTGCTTCTGTCAGGGACATCCTACATTCTTCAATAAGCAAGTTAATAATTCTTTCCCCATTAAT